GCAATTCAGCATTCAGTAAAAAAATTCAGCGTTTTAGTATTACCCTGATTATAACTCTAAACGGCCGTTTACCATAATGTTCTCAACCTTTCTTCTTTTGCAACAACCTAGCTTTTGCATTTATGCAGAGTAGTTCCCATCGTTAAAAGCGTTAATAATGGCTTCTTTATTTTAAGGGTATATATTCTCGCTATAACTCTTTTCTATTTCTTCTGTGGAAGTGATTGAAATGAAACTTTTTTGAACTTCTAATGCTTGTAGATTATGATAACAATTTTTGCCTAAAATACTGAAGTGTTTAAGAGTAATAGGTGTCGCACGATTCAAAATGACGCAATTCAAACGATGCACTTTTCTCAGCATTAGAACTCAAAGGAAATGCTTCAAACTTTGTCTCACGGCGTATCCTAGAATTATGCTGCATCTAATTTTGAAGAAAATATTAACTCCACATATTTGCTTACATGAGAGAAGGATTTAGCAGTACAAAGCTGAAGCAAGAAATAAACTGCATTCGAAGCTTCTAGCCAGCGCTTGTAACAAGATTTGTAATCAAAATGAAATGACTTGCCTTGTTCTAAATTCCATAGAACTGTCTACTTTCTTAAAAATGTGACGTGGAAAAAACAGCTTCAGCAGAAACATCTGACAAGCAGCGTTCGTTATACATTCGTCAGATTGCGTTTTAAAACCTGGATCTCGGGTTGAGTTTCAACAAAAGAAAAGAGAAATGGTGAAGGAAGTGAGCAAGCTAAGCTCACACATGGGGAGCTGCAGTAGTTGAGTGAAAGAACTCTACGCCACACTCTAAAAATAATGCGACTTCATGGTGTGATCTTCTTATTCTGTGAAAATCAAACACATTAATGCGACTTAATTTGCATTTTTTTTAGATTGTGGACTAGTCTTTTGTCTAGAGCTGTCGTTGATGACTAGCAATAAGGGGAGTGACCATCTCAGCTGCGGGAAGATATCGTGCTATTAAAAGTGTATATTAATAAATAATATCGTGCTATTAGCACCCTACATTAGTAACAGCATCTGCAAGGTGGAGTATTCTTCTCTTCTCCTTCACAGAAAGGCATTATAGAGAAATGAGGGAGAGAAAAACAATGCAAAAAAGAGAGAAAGAAAGAAACAACGCAAAAAGAAAGTGGAAAAGATGCTCAATTCGATATTGATAAGCGTTCGTTCATCATAGGGTTTAGTAGATAATAAGCCAAGTTCAGCTTACCCCTCCGAACGTGAGATGTTTAATTTGGGTAATACCCATCATAATCTGAAGATATGTTAATCCAGCATTTTCGTCACGTTTTACGATTTTTCATTGATGCTTTAATCGTTCAGTCTCACACAGCAATTTCGACCTTATATCGCTTCAGTTGTTGGATGATTAATTGACGTTTTGCTGGGCGAAAACACAAATGTACGTGTCACACATACTAGAACGTCAAACGTGCCATAACACACCGTTCTTGATCTTTTTAGAGATAGCTGATAGTAAGAAAGAAGGCAGCCCCCGATCCCTTGCGCCGCATTCGAGCACTCAAAGAACAACAGAACGTTCAAAGAAACGAACCTGGGCAGAGGAGATCACTCTAGGAAGATTTCCAAATATGCTTTAGACTCATTTTAACAACGACTTTGGAGGTCGTATATATTCTTAATCGAGAAAAAGTGATCACATGATGTATGAACACCTCCTTCACGCTTTGGTTAAGACTTTTGTGCAAAAATTGGCGTAGGACCAAATTGGTCCGGTCAAACAAATATTCGTTATTATTGTACTCGAATATGATAATTTAGCAGAGAACTAAGTTACTGCATAGAGATGTACCGGTCAACCAGCGAAAAAAACGGGACAGTACAACGAAAACCTTCGTACCGTCTACCTCTGATATGTAATACATTTTCATCTAGCACAATATTCCTTTACGGACGCTTGAGAAGGGTAGATGCTAAGTAGTCATTTCTGAACTTTGGAATGTTCTGACATCAGAATAGCACTATTATGGTAACAATACTTTAGTAAAAGTCAAACAAAGTGCACGATTTTTTTTTGTATAAGCGTTATTCTGTCAGATTACAAGCGGAAAAATATTCCATTATAGTATTCTAAACTAAACTATCGAAGAACACAAAATCAATTTTGGACGAATAGAGATTCGAACACATGAACTTAGCTTGCAGTGATTATGACCAAATTGAAATTTTAAAATCTGCTTGTTTAAATAACGCAAGAACGAGCTTCACAGCTTTTTTAGAGTGTTCATATCCGCCTAAATGCGCCACACGTTTCAAGAAATTGAAAATTTTCACTCGGTTTTATAGAAAACATTACCCATTGAAGAACAATAAAAAGGTCCCACACAGTTTAAGACATTTCTGAGCGAAAAAAAGAAAATCTCAAAGAATTGACTTAAACTCAGTAGGATGTTTTTAGTGAAACCTTTTGAGATATTTTTCTAGTGTTACTTGCTTCATTTGAACGAAAATTATGCTATATTTGCTTAGATTTTCAATTTTCTACACGCTTCACAAAATACGCGAGCTTTTCGAAAACCAACAAGACAGAACCTTCAAACTTCAACGACAAAAAAAGATCAGTTTTGAGTAAAAAGATATGCAAATTTGCATGCTCTTTCTAACTAAGCAAATAAAAAAATGATGTAAAGCAAATAAAAAATAAATTTGTATGTAACGTTCGCACCTCATCTTTTCTTAAAGAAATTACGACTGACTATTTCTTGAACATGTCTAACACGACGGACAAGCCCTCGTTTAACACTGAAGTTCATGGAGTGAACATTAATTTCGGGAAAAACGGAACGATAGCAAAGCGTGTGCATGGTATACACGGTGGACTCGTTTTTCTAAAAGAAAGAATGAGAATTGGCAAGAAGATATATTTACGTATCACAAAAGCAAGCAATTCCAATCAACTTGGAGCATTAGCAGGACTTGGAATCGTTCTGTGGAAACATAACTCCACCATTCTACGTGTCGATCCTGGAGTGTTACCTGAACGTGCACTTGATCCACCAAAAAATGTCAAACCATTTGATTGGAAACAAACTGTAATAAGAACCGATCTTGTAGAAGGTAATTCAACTCTTATTTCTAGACAGCAAAAAAAACGCTCATTCATTGTTCACCAAAACATATTCGAACAACGCATACAAAAAAGTGTTGTCACTTCAAGACGTAAAGTAGCGTGCAAATAGTATCCATAAAAAGAGACATTTCATTGAACGATAGTCGCAATAAAGACTGACTTTCATATACTCTTTTAGTTTAATTTAATTTACTTAGGTTCATTTGTCGAGCTTTATTTCACCGCTAATGAACACTTTAAAGTTCGAAGTGATGGAGTCGAGTCATCGTTGTTTAGCGAAGTGAATCCTCGAAATTATTTTGTTGGATTTGACATAACAGCCAATATTTCAGAAATTTCGTACGTATACGCTTTTTTCTTTGACTTTCTCTTTTCGTCTGCACATTTGTATGCTTCTCTCTCAAGGTTATACCAAGACTATTATCTGGACAATGATCATGAAAAGAAATGCTTGGCGATTGAAGCATTGAGACATAGCATTATTTCATCAGAAAGACAGCACGAGTTGGACAATTATATTCCCATTCAATTCCATTCTCTGTGTAGTAAATCTGTATCCTTGCACGATAAACGACGAATAGCCATACGTCATGAACATGATCGTCATGAACATTCATCATCGCTAATATTTCTTGATTGCTATTTACAAGCAGGTGACGCAATTTTAGTTCGTATCGTTGCACTGGAGCCATGCTATGCGAGATCGATTCTATTTGGTTGCATGACATTGAATGATATAAACGAGCTGAGTGAAACAGATCTGTTACGTGGACCCGATGATTTTCTGAGTTCGACTCCATATTATCCAGTTTTAACCGAGAACGTCATGCCTCTTGCATCGCTCAAGGATCATTATTTAATTGAACTCAATCGAGCTGGTGATATACAATTCAAGAAGAATGACAAACCTACTGATGTTCAAATGTCTGTTTTCCCAGACAGTGAACCCTATCGTCCATTTTTCTGTCTAAATGGATTCATAGTTGGTATACAAGTTCTTGGACTACGTCGAGATGGACCGAGTGCTTCACTTGTGAAACAGGACCTTTTCGATTTCGGCGAAGCTGACGCAGATGGCGGTGAGAGTGCGCATGAATGCATCATTTGTCAGGATAAAAGAGCATCATGCGTTTTTATTCCGTGCGGTCATTTGATCGCTTGCACAGGTATTTATTTGTTTTTGTATGCACATGTCATTTCGCACCTTTTCTGATCAGAGAGAAGGAACAATTTAAGACATGGGTGATTGGCTATTGCGAGATGATATAGGCTATTGCTTATTCATTCATTTTTTCCGTTTTAGACTGTAGTGGACAACTGAAACAGTCTGGTTTAAATACGTGCCCAACCTGTCGTACTCCCTACGAAGATATTTGGGAAGTAAACAGCATTTAAAATGAAAACCATCACAATTGTTGTTCTTTAAAGAAGATAATGATAGAGCTTGTATCTCTCTCCGCGACAGTCACCTTTGTGTTACTATGATAAAAGAATTTTGTTGCATGCTATTATTGAGTAAATAAGTTGTACTAGAATTATAATGTAGCTGCTATAGTTAGAGGATGAAAGCAAACTTCGTGTGGTTGATGGGAAGCTTTTCCTGTTGAGGCTAACAAGAGAGCGTCCCCTGGTGTCCTCCGAAAGTCATATCGAAACCTTCGTGGTTTGCTAAATTGATGGTGCTGAGTACGAATGTGCAACTCGTTTGTCCCACTTTTGGGTACTCCCTTCTCAGTACTTACTTTTCGTTCATAACCGCAAAAGCCACCTGATGTAATAACACCCAAAAAAAGTGCGCCAAATTCATCTCCAGGTTGTTCTTGGCTGAGGGTGAGATGTGTGGGTGAGAAACTGCTAGGCTCGGATCAGCCTGGAGATGAATTTGGCTCACTTTTGTGGGTGTACTTATCCTTTCTTCTTTGTGTCCTTTGGGTGTTCGTGGGTGTGCATTCAAAATGTATGCTTAAAAAGCGAAACTATAAAAAATTTTGGGTGTTCGATAGGCGTTGCTATACTCAGCTCGATGAGCTCTATCGACTGGCTAACTCAGATTTGCTTTTGGGGTGTTTACAAGCCCGTAGCCAGGATTTTGATAAGGGGGTGCACTATAGATGTAAATCGATATAGCGGTTTTCTTGCATTTTGTTTTTTGGTTGTACCGGCTCTGATTCCTAGCAGTTAAATAACAATTTGTACTTATGGAATCTGCTCGGGCACAACGGACACCTCCTCTGGCTACGGGCCTGGGTGTTTGTGGATGTTCGCGTCTTTTAGCAATACCAAAATAGGGGCACAAGTAAAGAGTCCAACATAACGGAGGTAGTAACACACAATATAGATCACACAAGCACCATACAATCATAAACTGAGAACTAGTCGCTGTTTATATGCAACAAGTCTTCTGGAATATTCTTTCTAGAATGCGCTGAAAATATACCAATTCTTTTCTCTAATCCTTTCGGATTAACGGACTATCAAATGGTATATGATATATCTCGTCTAAAACTCAAAGGTGGCATAAACGAGCTCCAGATTTGTACTCAGCAATTTAACCAACCACGAAGGTTTCCATATGACATTAGGTAGGACACCTGCGGACGTTTCCTTGTAAGAGCAATAAAACCTTTGCTTTCGAAGTAAAGATTTTTCCAGAATATTTTCTATCTGAACAGTACAACAAAAACCCTCGTTCCGTCTACCTCTGATATGGAATACGTTTTCATCCAGTACAATAGTTCTTTAGAGACACTTGAGGAGGGTAACTACTGAATAATCATTTCTAAAATCCAGAAGATTCTGGTACCAGAACGGGTAATTGCTCAGTTAAACTCGCTCCATTCGTTTAATCGAACGACTTCTAGATATTTGGAATGCTCTTTTTACCAATGGCATACTCGATTGATTTGATTCAATATGTCACTCTGGCATTTGAGGTTATATTTCTATCGTTTAAACCTGTTCGTCTCTCTCTGTAAATGTTACTTAATATTTTTTATTGAATAATGTTTAATGGTATTTATTCGAGCCGTCCATTAGAAGATTTTGGTGCATATGTTCTTTAGTCCCAAAAAGTACTGGACTGATCTTACTATCTAAAACTCAACTCCCGAGTACATTGATAGCTTGCTCTTCTTCAGTCAAATATTTTTTCCTTCTGTTTTCTCTTTAAACAGTTTATAAAAATATGTGTTTTCAAGATAACCATCACGTACTGTCTTTGGACCAAATGTGCCAAAAACTGTTTAGGACCAAAGATGAGCACTTTGGTATGTTGTTTTTCTGTATCATTGTATCTATTAATGTAACATTTGCCAATTTTTAAATGAAATATGACTAAGTGGATTCTTGCTACATATTTAATATTAAGCGTAAACAATGATTTAGTTCCATTGCAAAACTCTGTCAAATGATAAGAATCGACACACTTCGCTCTAAGCAACTGATCGAGTATAATTAATTGATAAATGAATGATTTAAGGTTGATTTTTTTGTTTTCTCCGTGTGAAAATCATATTTATCTAATTCATGTTGAATCTATCGAATGGCTTTTAAATATTGCTTTAGTTTGCCTGTGTTGTTTGCGGAAAGATTGTATTTACCATCAGACATGAAAAGGAGATAAATATTGCAACAATATTACAACTTCGCCATTCCGTTTGCTAAATCCTCTCTCGTAAAATGATAGTGATTCGTGATCACTTTTGATATATATTGGGTGAGATAGGTCCGATAAAAGCCTAGAATAATAGATATATCAGAAATAGCCGTACATATATCACCTACTTCCAGAAATAAGCATGAATCCTCCCCTACCTTTTTCTTTAAAATATTTCGGGATTGTAAGCATTCAAATGAACGTGCTCTTAGCAAAAAATAAAAAAAACAAGATCACATATGTCCATAAATTATTGTTTTGGGGTATTTTCACGTCAACTCTAATCTGACTCTCCATTGACATACACAAAGAACCGTACTAATCCAATACAAATCCACTCAGAAACTGCACGAAATGTATTTTTTAACAGCATCTTGACTGCATGAAACATGTAAATACTTTCTTTGTAAAAATCTGCTACAACTTCAACGTTTATTTTTATTGTTGCACAACGTTAGTTTTTGAAAGACATGCCGCCTCTCATTTCAAGAGTAAGTTGTATTTTCAAGTTTAACACGATACTTAATAAACTGAAGTGTCTTCTACAAAACTAAACCACTCTTCGCTTTGCATGCCAAATGTATGTACATTACGAATCTATTGAAACTTCATCCGTTCGAAATGATTTCTCAGAGTGTCAATTTTTCGTATTTGTTGTTGAGAAGTCCCATTGTTAAAAAGACGCAGGGTAGAAAAGAAAGTAAGAATTTATAAATTTCAATAATTTTGCGTGGTTTCACGACGTAAAAGTCTTGTTACATTGTGACTCCTTCATATCAGCACATCCAAAAACCCATGTTTTTCACGTAAAGTCTAGTTTTAAAAACACTTTTTACTGAAAGAACATGCCGTAAGTGAAATCAGTCCTTCCTTCTAAGTAGGATTTTGTCAAAAAGTTTCTTTCTTCGAAAAATGGCGTTTTATACGATGGGGAAGCGTGAAGAAGCAGCAAGAAATTGTTGAAAAAGAAGTAACATATGGCTGCTAAGCCAAAACTGTTCACTGTGTGAGCCTCATGAGATGGTGCACATTTGACCACAACATTGCTTCTTCAAACTAGCTATTACCCACTCATTGATACTCTGTTGGGAAAATAGTTGTTCAGTAGTGATGATGAATTTCGAAAGAAGTTCATTATAAAGTTTCTACAGAAACTTTGTTTCAGAAAGGTTGTTTTTATTTTTTTATTGTGGTTGTTACTTTTTTGCTGGAATTTTGCTCATTATTATCCGATATTTCATCTGATTTTAAATCGACATCATGTTTTTGCATAGTTCAATAACTCAAAAGTACTTCAGTTTTATTCTATCTTAATTATACGATTTATTAAGAGCGCAGAAGTATCCAAAATTGTTCAGTTCTTCAACTTCAATTCAGTTTGTTTGATCAGAGAAAGAAAAAAAATATATAAAATTTATTTATTTTTCTTAAAAACTTATAGTTAATACTTATATTCATGTATCTAACATGTGACGTCTACTTTTAGTACAGAAAAGGGAAACATTTTTAAAGCAGAAAAAAATCAAAAGAACAGAAGAAGGTCAAAAACTCAGAAATTCCTGTCAAAATTAGAAGATCTTGCAGTCCTACTTAGCACTATAAATGTTGTAGGATGGATTAAATAAAATCAAAAACATACTATATCCTTGCATGAAGTACATTATAAGATTCTCCATCGAACGTAAAATCGGCGACGCAATTATCGTGTACACAACAGTTCCACAATTAATTTAATCAGAGGATTCGTGTACCAAATGTCTGTCTAAGCATTTCTGAGTATTTTCTTCATTTTTTCTCGTTTCCTTGTTTTAATAAACCTCAAATTTTAATTCTCAAATTACATCAAATTTTGAAATATATTTGTTGTAGCGAAAAGTGGAATTCAGTGAAATTTCAGAGTTCCCTAGGGAGAACTGGAATCCGAGTTTCCTCCATCGAAAACTGGAATGCATATGCGTACTGTGCCCATGCTCGATTCCACTTTTCTCCAGTGAAATTCTAGATTTTGCTAGATAAAACTGGGATTCGCGTTTTTCCTGGTGAAATCTGAAATTTGACCAGGTAAGAGTGAAATTAATGTAATGAGAATAGATTTTAAGCTATAGAAGCAAAATAAATTTTTTTTACGAAGATCAATGAAAGGTCGCATTGCTTCAAAATAATTTTTTTTGCCCGATATTCATTTTTTTCGTGTACTTTTTTACGTTTCGTTCATCTGAAAATCGGTGTTCTATGTGCAGTTTTACATGAAGAATCTGACTAGAACTGTATCAAAAAAATAAAAAAACAGTGAAAAAGATGCGAGTTTTGCTTATTCGCAAACCTATCTAGTTTTTTTAGCTGAGAGAGGAAACAGTTTCTCTCATGTGATTCTAACCGTTACACCCATGGGAAAAAAGTTAGTTTTGTTTCCTTCCTCAGAAAACTTGAAATCTATTTCCGTTACATTAATTCCACTTTTACCTGGCCAAATTGCAGATTTAATCACAAAAAAGTGAAATCGGCATATGTATACATCTTAGTTTTCTCTAGGGAAAACTTGAAATCCAGTTTTATCTGTTTACATTATTTTATCATAATATTTGTACAAATCGTTGGAAAATCAACTATTTCGACTTTAGATTAAAGTTCTAAAATTCTTTTTTCGGTCTTTTGTGTAAAAGGTCATTTAAGTATTAAGTAATTTTTCCTCGAGTTAAACGAGTTTTACAGAATGGTGTAAGACTGCAGAACAAAAATGATTAGTTTGTCGAAAATGGGAAAAACAAAAAGTTTGTTTGTTGCACAAGAATTGATCTGCTAAAATTTTATTTATAATCAAAAGATAGTTTATTAAGGACTGGGAAATGGGTAATAAACTTCCACTACATCAAATACAACGAAAAAATTCTGTCTTTTCGGCTTGAAAATCGTCTGCTTTGAACTACTCAGTATCATTTGTATGATCTTTTATTTTTATATTTTAGAAAAAACTTTTGAATATATCCTTATAGAGAATTGAACAGAGCCTCTTTTTAAAAAATAGTTGAAGCCTGTATGATCAAAACTAGAAGAGATATTGAGAAAACACTAATAGTAACATTTATTCTAGTGCACCCGTTACACTCTGTACACTTAGAACAAAAACTAAACGTCTATAAGTTACTAAAAAATTGTCAGTTAAAACTTCTCATTAAAACACTTATTGAAACTGCATTATTGTCTTTCAGATTAAATAAATTTTGTAAAATTTAAAGTGAAACGAGACTTTTTCTCTTACTCAATAGGAGAGTATAATTCAATTTTACAATAAGAGATTGATAAACGTTGATCTGTGATAACACTAGAAGGAAAGAAAATCAAAAACAAACAAAAAGTTGCTTAGGCGTAAAAATTACCAACTCGAATGGCGTAAAAATTATATGTTCCTTGTACTTGACACCCACTAGTAATAAATATGCATATTCAGGTTTTTTTCCTTCCAAATCAAAACAGTGTCATGATAGTATGTGAACAATTTTTAATATGATCAGTTCTGACGTTTGGTCATTCATATGTTATTAGTTCAAGTATATTTAATTAATTATATACTCAATGAGATTTTTGTTTTTGAATTGATTAAGTGTTTGTAACATAATATATAATAAACGATTGAAAAAGAAATAGTTGTGCGACCAGTTTGCTATTTTTATTTTTCGATTTATGTTCAATATATCAGCACTACTCTCATATTTAAATTAAAATGATCAATTTCTGTCTTTTGTTCTTTCTTATACATTGATAAAATACAAATATGTTATACTATACAATAGATATTGTTCTGTTAAAAGAGTATAGAAGAATATTAAGTTGATAAACGCCCCGGTGAATAACATTAATTTGATCTTAGCATAAAATCATTTGTGAAATAAACCTCTTACTCAAAACATGTTTTCCTTCTCACTCAACTTAACTAATAACAATAATCATAATCGTTATCGTAATGGACGTAGATATTACACAATAAAATGCATCATCACTCATCTAACACATACACACACTCACTCACTCAGTACGAGTATATAAACAGCTCTTATGCAGCAGTATTGACAATAATCATCTGTGAAAATGACATTCAAATGCTCTGTTGATAATTATTATTCTAATATAAACTATTAGATAAATTTGAGCATCTCTCATATGTGATAGTATAAAAGTACACAGGTTTTTGTTAAACCAATTTATAATGTGTAATAATTATAGATTTAAACCACAAATTACCTTACATATCATTGCCAAATAAAATATATTTGATAGATGACGATATACTATATCTGAATGTAAAAAGAAAGAGATGACAATATGTTAAAAAATAATATTTTGTTTCAAATAAATAAATCATTATTATTGAATGAATAGGTCTCAAAAAAGTTCATACAGTTTGTCAAAGAAATGGGCGTACAATAATATTTTCTATAACTAACGGTAATAATAGAGATAGAAAAACACTTTCATCATCAAAAGATAAAATATATCATTTTTTTAAGAGTTTTTGATTCACATACTCATGTGTTCTCTGTTATTACTGAAAAATTGTCAGCAAATTCAAATATATATACAAATTAAAGACATTATCGATTCGATGTATACAAAGAACAAAAGGACGAAAATTGTGAAACAGCTAAGAGTTTTATATTGAATATGTTTTTAAAAAAAAAAAAAACGTCAAATATTTTCTAAGCAAAATTTGACGTCTAATTTACAGAACAAACATTTAGATATCACTTTTAACATTACAAATCACTTCAAAAATTAACAAAATTCAATAGCTATCAGAAATGTAAACATTGTTGAGTTATTTTATTTTTATTAATTTTGAATTCGTTTTTTGACAAAACTGTTGTACTGTGAGACTAGTCGAGTAAGATTTTAAAAACAGATGAATAGAATGATTGAACATTAATTTATTGTTCCATATTGTTCTCTACTCTTTTATTGAGTTTCATACTAGTAGTCTCTCATATTTTTTCTTCTATATACTTATTAATAATTGTAAACATGGATTCATCGGCTTAACAATTGATATATATAGACATATGCATAAGAAAACTTAGACTTAACTATATACTCAACTGTTAGATATATCAAGTGAGTATATAAAGTAGTAATACTTTTCCATCGAATTGTGCAAACGAAAGTTATTATAATTAGTTTAATTAACCGTATAAAAATACTATTTTCTCTTCCTATGATGGTGTATATATATATATATATATACTCTTCAGACATCTATAATAATAATAATAATAAATAAATAAATGAAAATCAATTGAATGCAGTATAATCTCGATTATTATCTTGATCGATAGTTAAATATCACACAATTGAAAAACACAAATCAATGATATTGTTTGTCTCATTTCCTTTTATTTATTTATTACAGATATGGATATATATATAATATAGATATTATACTTCACTCATCAAATAGATATACATATAGAGTGCTAACCATAATATTCATTAAGAGACATGTGTTACTTAGATATATAATCTTTCATCAGATAAGAGAATAATTTTAATACTTCCAAAAAAAAAAAGTTTTGAGCTTTTTAATAGATAACTTTTTGTTATATGTGCTTTTATGTGACAAGGTTAAACTATCTTGAGAAGAATAATAGAAAGAAAATCGTCTAAATATGATATCAGAAATGTTGTATAATACAAATAGTTGCTTTTATTGTATTTAGTTTCGGGCGCCATTTTAATCGCGTATATATATATATATATGTATAAATATCAAGATCCACAAAATGACCGTGAATATAACAAAAAAGAAAAAAATCTCTTGCATACACATAACGTATTCAATCATTCAATATACGTGTATTGTATTCTGTTACCGTATGTTGTATGACTGACAATAAGAACAAAAAAAGAATAAGAAAAAAATTATTTATAGAAGAAACCTATATAGAAATTAGGAACCGCAAAACTGCACAATAATGGAAACTAAAAAAAAAAAGAATAGAATAGAAGATATTAGAATTGTGCATCTTGTCGGATTTTTTTTTTCCTCCACTATCATCCCACTTTTTTTTGTACAAGATTAAAATCCTTCATATATAAACTTATGTTTAAAAATTTTAATATATTCATTTTTTTATTCTTTTGACATTTGTATTTCAAAGAAAAAAAAATCTATTTATACAAGGTAATAATAAATACAGTTTTCGATACATCATCGAGATGATCAGTTTTGATCCTATTGATTATTCATCATCTATGACATCGATCTTTCTATAAAGTCATTTTTTTATGTTTTTGTGTGTGTGTGTGTTTTTTGTTAAATTTTCATTCAATTTTGTTGAGTTTTCTCCAAAATAATCGTAACATTTTTAATACTGAAGATTTTTAAATTTGAACTTATTTTCTGAAGACACACACCATTGATTGATTGATTGTTGAGATTAACTTTTATTTCAACTGAAATTCATTTTGTTCTTGGTGATTACAATACTCTTCGATTCACACATACACAGACACATACACACACACAAACACATTTCTGTTTGCCTTGTCTAAATCAGGGACATGACGATAGTACACACTCTGTCTACTTTTTTTCTCTCACCAAGACACTGATCTTAATAAAAAAGATATATATTTCTGTTTTATTATGATATTATTTTAAATTATCACTCAATACTACTTTGTCAACATAGCCTACGTATAAGTTAAAAAATGCTACTTGATCTACAATGTCATTATTATAAACGAAGAAGAGTTGAAGAAGGAAGTAGATTGCGTGAGAAAGAGAAATTAAAGACACATTGTCTAAGAGAAAAGGCACAAATTACTTTTTTATGTGATTTATCATTATTATTAGAATATAACAATTATTTTTTATGGATAATAAGAAACCATCATCAGTATACTAAACGAATACGCTATAGTATTTTCTTCTTTTTTTTTATGCTCTATGCTCTATCATTTTAACAAAACTCGATAATTTTATGCTACATTTTGATAAAGAAAAAGAACATTTTTATTCAAAAACAGAATAATATCGAGAGTAAAAGAGAAAGAGAGAGAACATTTAGAATTATTTGGATATGCGAAGGATAGAAAGAACAAAAAACGAGAAGAAAAGAGAGAAATTAGTTGAATCATCCAACTGTGTTTTGTTTTTTTATTGAACCAAACAAAATTTCTCGCATTTTTTTATTGACACGTATAGATAGATTACAGTGTTTTATTTTAACATTATTACTTATGCACGATAAATACAACTACAATGTTTGCTCATATTTACAGACCTATGATATGAATGAACAATATAGATAAGAAATAAAAATGGTATTATAACAAATTAATCTCGATTATGGAATAAAATACACAACAGTACATAGATCAAAATAACATTTAAAAAGAATTAGAAAATAATCAAATAATTATGACTAATTCATTTTATCGAATTCCGTGTGATCGGTAAGTAGAATATTGTATAAATAATCCTGAACAATATACATTATTATTAGCTCATTTAAACTTCTAAGAAAAACAAATTACTTATCCTGTTGCTTATTCATTTTTTTAGATTTTTTGGCGTTTATTTTGCATTTCTTTTGCATGGAATCGGTTGTTTTTTACCATGGAATCTCTTATTACATGGTTATGCTGTAAGTTCTAGTATTTTCAACTAGTAGACGATTAAATCAAACAATTTTAATTTTTATCTTCTAGTATTTTGTTTGTTGTCGTTTTATTCCTGATGAGTCGAGTATATATCGTCGCCATTTTCTTAGTTTTTGTGCCCTTTCGGCATTGGTGGCAGCCTGTGTAGCCACGGGTGTTAGCTTATTCCTTGGCTTTACGTATGTTATTTATTTTCACTAAAAGTTACCACTATATAAAAAAAATAACAATATTTTAGCGGTGATATCAAAAGGCGAATTTCACCTTGCATTGCTGTTCTTGTCCTCATGTTCATTATTCAAGTATTATTTTCTGTATTCGACGCTAAAGATGGTAAAATATAGCCATCTCTCTCTCTCTCTCTCGCGCGCGCGTTTGCAGTTTGAATATCTGTACTTTCTTTTAAGCGTCTGGTGTGTTCCTATGTGTGACAATACTCAATATTGTAATTATAGGAGGTAAAATTTATCATTTTAAAATTATTAATATAATCGAAATTTTTTTATTTGTGTTTTTAGCATTTGTCGGTTTATATTTATCTAGTATATTTGGAGTGGCATCCTATTTTCCCGATAAATATGTTAATTCTGTTGTTATAGGGACAGTACGTATTAGGTGTGCATATTGATAATACCATTATATCAAATATTATTGAGGAATATTTAATTTATTTTCTTACAGTCAGTTGGCATATTATTAGCTGTTACTGGGCGAGTAATAGCAAAAGACGGTGAGCTTTTTAGAGATTATTTTTGTTTGAAAATATTGAAGAAACTGTCCAAACATTAGAGTGAAAGTTGATTTACACAATCATGATGGTTAAGGGAGAAACAGCTGATTTTGGGATTTTCACCCATTTTTCCGATTTACTTCGATTTGTTTGAGAAATCAAGCAAAGAGACTGCGATAAATAGTGCAGAACATGCTTTATTTGCACAAAATAGGGATTAGACATAGTGAAGTAAAGAAAAAAAAGATAAAAAATGTTAATGTTACGTTTTGTTCATCTGCGTTAAGCGAGATAAACGATCAGCAGCCAACGTTTAATTCTCTTCTGTTAATAAATAACAAGTTGTTTGCTTGTGTATACAGCAACAGTTCCACCTGTAAGAGGTTGAAGATAAAACTTTGTAACAGTTATTCTTTTATAGTAGAGGCTATCTATATTTGTAACATTTACTTTTTCTAGTCTAGCAATTTTCGATTTAAACCGCTTTTTATAGTTCACAAATTAGCTGTTTCCTCCTTGATGATACTTCACTTTTCAATTAAAGTCACTGTAGCGTATTGCTGTATCTATTGTAGATAGACAGATCTTAGTCTAACTGTTATCAAACTTTTTTTTCTAGTGACCGCTGATGCAAGAGTTATAGCTGTTTATTTTCTTGTTGCGGCCGTTATTATTTTATTGTTATGCTTCGATGTTTATTTCGCTTTACCATATTCCGTACGTATTTTATCTGTATGTGCTGTGATTAAAATATCACTTATTCACCTTTGTTTAGAGATTTTTTCGATTTTATCACACATCTGTAAAACTTGATCTACTACATAATACAAAAGGAAGATTATTAAAAGTAGCGTATATCGATGTTTTCAAAGAGGTATATATAGTAGAATGAAAATACTTATGTCAACTCTCATTTATTGTCTTTCTTCTAAGATTTGGTTGGAATGTTTATCTGTTTGGCTTCATTTCTTTTCAACAATCACATTATTTCCAGCTGTACTAAGTGAAGTCAAAAGTTCAACACCAACGTTCTTTTTAGACGGTAAATTCTATGCAAAGAAATGATAAAGACTTACTTTATGTTAAATAATTTTGTTTTAGAATCTCATTTTGTTGATGGCATTGTTCTTCTTAGTTTTGCAGTATTTAATCTTGTTGGAAATATTCTTGCTGGCTATATCAAAAAGGTATTCTTTTAGAGTTTTGTCAACGAGCTGTAGTGTTAGAACTTATTAATAGGGTTGTCTATTTAGCTAGTGAGCATAATTTGCACTAGCTCAATTGGTTTTATTTCACCTCACCAATAACTGAGGATTTAGATAATAGTCTGAAGAGTAAACATTTGAATACTCTCGTAGTTCTGAATGTTCTCATTTTTATGCCTGCACTTGTTATAACCGATTGACATTGTGCAGTATTTTTGCAAATAGTTTTTGTCAACGAAAACCATATTTTCTAAAAATTTTTGAGAATTGGTCCATTGATCAATGGATCTAGTACTTATAAAAGAAAGATTTCTTACAAGTCCCATGATCGGTTATAACCGATTTAGGGCTCTTCGTCGAAAAGCGATCATGGCAGAAATAGATTACATAAAGACTTCCACCATAGCTCATCTTGTACCAAAATGTTTGCTCTACAAAACCCAGTTGTTAGAAAAGTTTTAATATGTATACTTTCATGCAATCCGTTTCAGGAAAAAGATGAAATTTATCGGTTATAATCGGTGTATCGATACTCATTTCATTTCACTTCATTTTGTTCAAGATGGTGAGGGAAGACAGGATTTTGACAAAGACCAATAAATAAATTTACGCTTTTACATAAACACAAAACGAAAGAAAACGGTTTTTTGGAACCGTACGAGTGAACAAAAAGAAATCAAACAAAAACTGAGCAGGAACAGAGCAAAGAAAGGAGTCTTCTGATCTCGGAGATCCGCGTTGAGCGTAGAGTTTAAGAAGCTCAAAACGGAACAACGCAGTTCTGTCCTTAATAAATTTAAGAAAGAATGAGAATCTCTGAATTTTTCTGCGATAACTCAAACTTTCTAGTTTGTTCTAAACGTAAGTTGGATAGACGGAGTAACAAAATCTTTGTTGATGATGAGGAGAGCTAGGTGCTGAACGGAATTGAGAGGTTTGAACGGATGTAAAGGTGTTTTCGGAGTTGAAGAGATGAATTGAAAGACGTACGGGGAATAGCTTCGAGTATTTGACGACAACAGCTTGCTGTTTTATCAATATACTGTTTAATTTTGAACTGTTCTCAGTTCAGCGTCAAAACAAGATGTAGTAGTTAACATTAAGACTGTATGCATCCCCGATATTTTAGCCTTGCTCCAATTGGCTATCGATTGGGATACTTCTGCGATCGATTCTTTTTCTTATTGTCACTTTGTTCACCAATTTCGACTCAAATTCACGTTCAACTATATCTGTTATAATAACAAATGACTATTGGTTTTGGACGATCATTATATTATTTTCGTTGACACATGGCTATTTCAACAGTATACTGAATATATATACATCTAAGTAAGATTTATTACCTGCCCACTTAGTAAACCTATTGAGTTTTACTTTATTTCGCATTTTAGGTTAGTTGAACCACATTTATCGACAACGGCGGCTGTGATGTTAAATCTATTTGCATTTTTTGGTGCTACTAGTGGTGTTATTAATTCAGTATTTTATCGCTATATTATTACTTTGTAGACTGGTTAATCTCAGTTGTATGAGTTCGTTGTGTGTTCAGTGCAAAGATTTATAATTCATACAGAGTTTTTTGTCTTTGTGACGCGCATTTATACATTTCTATATTAAAATATATGTTTGAGATGTATGTAACGTATACGACGATAATTCAGGTCGAGTGATTACTACTATGTTAGTTAACCGACATGACCTTTGACTGAGATAACTTATACACTGAACTGATCGGACCTCAAAACAAAGTCTTGAAAACATTATCAAAAACGTTTCTCATGCCTAAAGTTGAAACTGGAAACACTTAAGAAAACTTAGAACCTGAGATAGGGTCTAAAGTATCTGTGGTGAAAATTTCGGATCGATCGAACCATTTTTTCGAGAGGTCGTAATGTGACTGGATTAAAGAGACTATCGAAAAAACGCATAATGAGAAAAATACATATTGTAAGTAGGGCTCTGTTTTTCTGGGCATTTGTCGTGATACTTACATTTCAAGGAAAGCGCATTGGAAAATTCTGGATGACGTCTCATTTTGAAGAGCACACTTTCTTCTATCATGCTAGTTGTAAGAAAAAATTTTGAATATATAGGAAAGGAGAGAAAAATTTATAAAACTACAAAACTGGGATTTTCTAGGCTTTGAAGGTAAAGTTTAAAAAGTTCATAATTTTTTTAAGGAAGGTCGTGGAGAGTTGGAAGTGATCTCATTTTATAGCCTAGATTTTCGTCTACATAAGGCTATATTTGACTTAAAATGAAAAGTTTTTGCAAAAAAGACAGAGTACCCTTAAGATATTGCAAAATAGCTAAGAACATAGTATCAAGATCCACTCTAATTTTCAAGCACATTTTGCTCGAAATTGAGTGATTGTTGAGTTCCACTGCAGTTTTTAGTCAAAATGAAGTTCATATTCGAAACTGACATCAGAATTTGAGTATAGAAAGTTTTGTTTACTGGAATTTAGACATATCACCAAATACAGATGTAGTCTCTCTTCTGGAACGAAAAAGCTGGAGAAAACCAAAAGCATATTTTGCAAAAAACCATGTTCGCTCAAGCCTCGAGAAAAACATTTTTATACTCAAATTCTGATATGAGTTTCAAATATGAACTTCATTTAGACTAAAAACTGCAGTGAAACTCAAAAATCATCCAGTTTCGAGCATATTCAGTAATGTGCTTGAGAATTAGAGTGGACCTTGATAAGGCGTCTTATCTGTTTTGCAATATCTTAAGTTTGCAGTGTCTGTGATAAAAAAGGACTGAATATCAATAGATTAAGCAGGAGAAAACGCAAGATTGTGTTCTGGATTTTAAAAATGTCCAAGTCATATATCATTATCAAGTGCAGAATTTTGTAATTTTGTAATTTGGTTATTTCTTTTTCTTTTTTGAAGAAAGCTTTTAGTAAAAGTTGAATAACTCAGCCAAACTGAAATTTCTTATGTGCTTTTTTCGCTGAAATTGAAATTGTTTGCTGTTCAATTGCTCTCATTTAGCTTTTCATTTCGGAAAAGCTTCCAGAATACCTGACTGTGACTATAAGATCATCACTCTTACGGTGTGCGAATACTGCATTCTTGCATTTACTGACTTTCATGCAGACAAAGTAGAGGATGTATTGTTGATGGTTTACTATCATCATAGCAGCACGTGACATTTATTTCATTCATGTGTCTCAGACCATATTTCGTTTGAATTGCTGCGCGCCCAACTCTTTCTTGTAAACGTTTCAGCACGTGAGCTGAAAATCCAGGATCTTTCGAACCATGCAGTAGAATAAATGCCGTATTACAATATTTCGTACAGTTTTCATTTGGATTTTCATATTCAGTAATGTACGAGACATACGGATCAAGTTTACATAATGTATGATTCGCTTTCGCTTTCCACAGCATGACATTGATGGCTGTCTCGTCAAAATTGGCACCAGCAAAATGTCCCTCTCTGACCAGTTTTTGAACATTATGTAAAAATGGGTAGGCTCTGAAGGTCCATGCAATATGTGCATGAATGTAGGGTGTAGTCTTCTTTTCTACGCCAAATTGTTTCATGAAAGGTTGTTGATTCTGAGGATCATCCGGATGTCTCGGCGAAAGAGGGAGATCGTAAGGCCATTTATGTAAAACATCGAATAATGCGTCAACATTATAATTGACGATATCATCTGTTTCAAGTAGAACACCGTAGTCAGCTTTACTCTCGACAATGGCCAAAATTTTACAAAAATAAACTGACGGTCCACAATTACTTTGTGATATTCGACGCTTGATTACACGTGGATGTTTTGTTAAATTAACCATTAAATCAACATCAATTCCAAACGCAATAATCGGTCGTGTAGAGAAGAGATGTACAGAGTCAAGCATAACATTCAAAAGAGCTAAATAAGTGGGATTATTGTTTGAAAATGTGACAAATGCTTCTTTCGTACTATTACCAACATTATCATCAGTGGTATACAAAAAGTCTATGGTGGAGATCGACGATGCTATAGTAGTTGCTGCTGTTGTTGTTATTATTATTGACGTTTTATTTGTGTAATTTCGTACGACTGAAGTGACTGATATTCGATATTTTCTAGGATTATACATTTCTAGTAGTATAAAATAGATAAATGTGAGAAAGGCGATAAACAATAAAATACGAACTTTTGTCGAATGAAGCATTTATCTACGTCAGATAATTGATAATTACCACTCCTTGATTTTCTATCATCTAAAAAATATCAACACTGTACACGATAACACGTATACACACAAAAAGGTTATACCTATATTCGACGAAAATCACACATGCCATTTGCAGTTCGTTTAAATTTATTTAATTAACGAATTACCGTTATCTAGTATCAGTCAAAAATTAAACTTTCTAAACCAGTAAATCCTGTTACAATAATCTTTTCAATATACTTTGAAAAAAATCCGGCTTATACTATTCATCTTTCTATTGTATTCGTCTTATTTATTCGTATCCGTCTTATTTTAAGACGTTTGTTTTTACAGACAGTTCTTTCTTCTGTAGTTGACGAAGAAATCAGTCACATCTTTTGTTTTTAGTTCGTCAATCGTATATAAAGCATAAAAATGATTTCTTCAAAAGAACTTGTCAATTTATTTTGATTTCTTTCAATCTTACTCCTTATATTGTGTGACATACATTACCCTCTTCAGTAAACTGTTGATACAGTATGTCAATCTCGATTGCACAATATCGCTTATTTTCAAATTTAGAACTTTTAGGTGAAATGGACACCTTTGAGTTTTGAAATAAGATCGTATAAGTCCGTTCTCGATTAGTCGGATATATCCGTGTTATTTTAAGACTTTTTTCTAGGTTGTAACAATATCATCCGCTAGCCTTGAAGCGTTTCTTGACGCATTATTCGGTGCACGGGAATTCAGGTAGCTTGTACAACGTATTATTAAACATGAATTATTTGCACTGGCCGAAGATAACAGATGACTACCGAATCGACAGTACGTTTTCCGTCGGGAAGATGAATTTATCAAAAACTTCATATCAAGACAAATAGATGGAACACAGAATACATTATCTGACATCATAGACGACACACAGAACAATAATGTCATGAACACACCACTATATGGTATCACATGTGAAATTCACAAATAGAAAAAAACGGACAGTTTGAAGATCTAAAATAATAAACACATTAACATTCAAAACAAATTCATGTAAAATATCTTAGAGCATCAGACGCTATAGCACTGTATAGAGCGAGTTTTAAGAGCGCTTTTAAAATGCTACACTGAGGAATACTTTCAAAAAGTATTCTTTTTAAACTGATCGAGTGAAACTCGGAGCGGTTTATTCTTTTTCACTATAAAAATTTCTTTATTTCGTCTAGACCCACTTTCGTCTTCGAGTCAGCCGCGTGTTCTTAGCTATCTCTAATCGTACAGATTTGGAAAAACATCATTCGAGAGTGATGAGACACTCTCAGCTCTAGATGAGACACTTCAACTCACTTTTTCGATGTAGGTCTTAATTAACGTCTAATCAGCCCCAAAAATTAAGCATATTTTTAATAACTTTACTATGAGATAATTAATTGTTACGTGACACTTCATATACATTTAGTATGAACAGTGTGAAGTGGTTCATTAAGTAGTTATATGGTACTTATCAGACTGTACTTCTCTATAGCATGATGCATTTATAGTCTGAAACATCAGTAGCGATAGAATGCATCAAAATGTTTACTACCAGAGCACTGCAGTGTTCTAACTGTATGTAAGGGATTCAAACAGTATGTAAAGTGTTTCTAAGAAACGTTTCAGTCAGTCGGGTTTTCAGTCTACCGGCAGGATAGTTGACACTAGTCTGGAATACTTTTAGCATTCATTCGGCTCGCCGCCGCTCCAGAAGTGTCCCTCTGCAGTCTGTTCTAAAAGTGCTCTTTCTGGAAAGTGCTCGGCGGAAAAGCAGTGAATTGTATGTAATCTGGCCAGTGACATTGGAAAGCAAGACTCGGCAATCTAATGAAGTAGCGATGGGAGCTTATTGGACATACTAGAAAAATAGTAAAGGATAGTCCTCGGTATGCGATAAAAGATAATGAGTAACAAAAGACCAAGATAATGAGAATAGGGCAAAAATTCCTAAACACGATGTTCAAGATAAAATACTACTCATATATTTATATTGTACAAAACAGTTTATTACCTGAGTTGTGTACTTAAAAATAAAAGAGAATCTTTGTTTTTTCTCGTTTCTTCTGCTTTTTATATTGGCTGTTTTGTCATGCCAACTTCAAAGAAAAAATTTTTTTATTATTTTAAAAGATATAATATTTTTTTTCTAAAACTACGGCCTACATTTTATAATTAAAAAGAACATTTCTTCAAAATTGTCTAAATATAGTCTATATTTATTTTCTTCTGTCTCTCTTTTGAAATTAAGCACTAGAATACATCCTCAAACACGCCTCTCTTTCGTCAACATATTACAATAGACAAACTGGCTTTTTAATGTAATAACTATTGTCCAATGAACAAAAAATATACTATACTTTTAAAGAAAAGAGCATCTTAAAATAGGTGGGTAGGGTAGAATTACACTGTCTCATTTCACGGAATCCCTTATCCTAACCTATCCCATCTCATGCGATATTCGCGAGACAATTCAACTCATCGTTATTACGTAACGTTTGAGTAACAGATAAATCAAATCAAATAACATCCGCTATCCCTCCCTTCCCATAATAGAAGCCCTCCCATATTAGAAGCCTGGAATATTATTGATCTGAGTATAAAAGTGTTTTTTGTTGTTCTATCAAAACAAGTGAAACAACATAGCTTAAATAAATGGTTTAATATTGAAATTCGAAGTGGTAGATTCTATACTGGTTCATTATTCTCTTAATAATGAACCAGTAAAATGACGATAATAAAAAATTGCATTCTTCGTGTTTAACTTAGTTTTTGTTTTTCAACAAACGACGAGTTTTTCAGCGTATTTAAGTTCTTTAATAAATGCATTCTTCAAAAGAGCAGAAAATAAATTTTTCTTTTAAATTCTTCAAAGAATTAAGTTTAGAAAGAAAAAGAAAATAACGTACGTCAGTCTCAAGCATTTTTTGTCTTTGCTAAGTCTAAAATATATATAGAACATACTATTTCCTCCGCAGACACTTGGAATTAGTTAACCTGTCTATATCCACAAGAATGTGAACACTTCAAGATTATATTTGTCCTTGATAATCGTACGTGAAACTGATTGAACCGGTGTCGCGTTCATTTAGAAACATAGAGTGGTCAACCGATTCGAGTGTTGTCAAGGACAATACTTATTTTGGATAGAGGAAAATAGACTACATTTCAGCAATACGATTAAAAATACGAGACTCAATTCAGAATATCATTAAAAGCAACGTTGAACAAGTAAAGATTGAAATTATCGTCTGTATCTGTTTAAATTGACGCAGAATTGTTAAAAGAAATGAAAAAGAATTGAAGAATAGCAAGCAGCTAATAAAAATTATTTATCTTGAAAACGCATATAACAGCCATATAAGGCACGTCTCGTACTTAAAAATGCATCTCTAAAAACATTTTAAACACATCGGATACAAGAAATACGTGTTGAAGGGGGAAGTAAAATCTAGAATTTAAAATTTCCTTAGGAAGAATTAAAATCTCAATTTCTCCTAAATAATAGTTAGAGAAAATTAAAAAGTTCTCCTAGAACAAAATAAAATATTAATTTTTTCTATAGTGGAAATTCAAATTTTCTTTTCTTCAACAGCATCATAACAACTTCTTTCATCATAGCAACACCAAATTCTTTATCATCAAAAAGTAGCAAAATAGCACATATTTTGTACAAAATGGTTAAACACAGAACAATATCTAGCTAAGCACTTAAGCAACACTTTCTTTAATTTCGATGACATTTGTTACCGCAATGAACTTTTGCTGTCCAACAGGGATATTTCTTCGTAGCATCATTCCCGTTACATCTGCACGCTTCTATAGGTAACATGATTGACTTGGTGGAAAAACATGAATTCGATTTAGACGAAATGGAGGTGCCGTTCGAGAGTAAACACCTTCCATTTGTCCCCGGTCAGTTGAAGATTCACAAAGTTGACAAGTAAATGAGAATAATAGTATCTATGAGATATACAATTGGATCGAATATGGCCGAATACATAACAAACACCATAAAGCCGTTATTCGATAATCTTCGTTTTACAGTAAACACACAAGATCTGATCAATAAGTTGTACAACCTCAAAGTGAAGAAAAGTCGTCGACTAGCAGGTTTAGATGTAAGCGATCTGTTTACATCAGTAGATGGAAAAAAAGTTTTGTTAGATAACGATGAAGCGTGGAAGAGTAGAACTGGTTTAAATAAAGAAAGTTTGATCAGGTTAGTTAAATTTAGTAACGAGAATGTAATTTTTCAGTTTGGGAATAATTTTGATCTAAGCTGTTGTTTATTATTGATGATGTAACAAACAAAGAACAAAAATAAAAATGAATAACAGTAAACGAAATGAGACACTATTTAAGACGTAAAGTACTAGCGGATCTTTATGATCCATGTTGTACACTGAGAATAAATATCGTGAATAACATATACAGCAATGGGCCTATGATGGAGTAACAAACAGAGAGAAAACTTAAAATGATTATTACGGGAATAATTTTTACACACAAGTAAAAGGCTTGACAATGGGCTCTTCAATTTCGCCATTGTTAGTTGATATAGCATTGAAGGAGTTCATACATCATAACTGGGATTATCAGAATGTTAGAGGGGGGGATTATCCATATGTTAGATTAGTACGGTATATTGATGATAGTCTGTTAATCTCCGAAATGAATACGTGAAAAATAAATGAGCTGGTAGATGAGTTGCACAGCAAAAGCAATCTACAGTTCCCATATGAATACGAAGTTGAGCAGCAGGTAGCATTTTTAGACGTTACCGTTTGTATTAATCAGTCCCGCGAAACAATAGAAACAAGTTGGTTTAGAAAACCGATACCTGTTTAAAAAGTATTGGATTTCGGGTCAGCTCATAGTTATCCAATGAAGCAAAATATAATTACGAACATGCCAAA